CTTCTAAATTTCTGTGCTGCTATAGCAAGTACAGAAATATATGAGGGCTAACATACCCAAATATTTAAAAATCTTTTTGTTTTTAAAGGCAACATAGAAAGAGTTATTTAGCTAAAATTGCCAAATGTCCAGTTTGTCCAGGACTGTCTGGGTGTATATCTATGTCCTGGCTTTGTTATTAACTGTGCTCTTTTCACTCCAAAAAGTGTCTGGTTTGGATGATAAATTATATTGTCACCTAACCCATGATACTAGTCATGTGTTGATGCAGCTGAAGAGACCAGTGAGCCAGGTGCCAATCTAGGAATGAATGAACTAACGGGAAGGACACCATCCCCGAGCCTTGGATCAGAAATGCCATGGTTCCTTTCGCATGGAATCACTTCCATGTGGAAATAAAATTCACAGTATCTAATATTTAGCCTTGGTGAGTGGGAGATAGCTAGACCAAATGTCTTATGTGTTCACTCTGAGAGTTGGAAGTTCCATCACTGAAATCCCTGATGCTCCCACTCATTTCTATTTCACGAATTGCAAATCTGCTCTCCAACTTCTGGACCTATAAAATCCTCTCCTAGGAGAATCTCTCTCATTTCCTTTTGAAGCACAAACATGCAGCACAGACAAAAATTTCAAAAAAGCTGCAGCAACTTCAAATCTGTGACTCAGATTTGACTCAAATAAATGTAGTACACAAATACGGTCGTTATTTAGCTCTCATGTGTAGCATACCAAGGATTTTTACTGTCCCCTTTTATGTATAGGTAGTTTGGTAGTTAGATCCCAGCTCTTGAGCCTTACTTTCTTTGTCTTCAATAATATAAGGATAAGCTCTACCATTTGGATTATTGTAAAATTCAAATGAAATGTCTTTTGTTAATTGCTTAGCCACTTTCCTTTTTTTTTCTTTCCATAATTTTGGCATTTTCTGTTTCTACTTTTACAACCTTACTCCATACACATCTTTACTTTGAAGCGGCCAGAGTTGTTTAGAAGTTGGTGAAAGATGAATACTAAAAAAAGATTACAAACAGCACAGTAAGAGGATTGCCACTGTACAAGTGAGGCAATCTTGAGTAGAGCTGATGGAAGTGATGTTCCTGATGTAAACAATGTCTTCAAAATTTGGGTAACTAGGAAATAGTAGACAGACCAAACTGTCACCCAACAACTAGACATGGGCAATCTTTCTGAACAAAATGCTGGCTTGAACTTAAAAGGCAAAAAAGAAAGCATAAAGGCTTTCAAAATTCTCATCTGACAGAAAAGAAAACGATACCTTCACCAAGTGTTATTAAATCACAGGAGGAATTTATTCTAAAAATACTAATCAACATACTGGACAATGTCTTCAATAATAGTTTACAACAATAGTGTACAACTATAATGGCCTTTCCTGTAGCTACTTCTAATGTCAATACTCACTAAAAAGCGTAATATTAAAATATAACTCAGTGAAAGAAAACGTTTCTATTGTTCAGGCAGCTAGTCTTGGACTAGCAATTAGCAATTACCAACATGTGTAAGATGCCTAAAACATACAGTTTGAGCATCCCTAATCCAAAAATCCAAAATCCGAAATGCTCCAAACTCCAAAACGTTTTGAGACATGATGCAAAAAGGAGCATTTTGCATTTTATTTCAAATTAGGAATACACAACTTGTTAGGTATTCTGTAAATATTCCAAAATCCCCAAAAAATCACAAACCTGAAACACTTTAGGTCCCAAGCATTTTGAATAACCTGTGTATGGTTCCATTGTCAAATAAGCTTGAAAAACACAAAATCATGTAGAGCCTTCTTAGAGATTCAAAATATATTTAGCTTACTAAAAATTCTAAAAAGCTATGCATTAGAGAAATTTGCATGTATTATTTAACAGTTTCCCATCCTTTGGGAAGTTAGGTTGATATACACTGACTCAGATATACCTAGATGCTTTCTTTCCTTCATCTGTTCTTTGAACAGCGGTGGGTTAAGCAAACAAATTCATGCTCATGTGCCCTGACAAGAAACTAGAGTGTGGATATTTTTTATTATTGATTTTAGAGAGAACCGTAACTTTGGTGGAAAAGTTTTCATGTGGTTATAAAAGTTGAGAAACCTGATAGATGCTCTTAATAGACAGACTATGTGGGCTGGAATGAACCATTCAGTGCCAAAGGAAATCTGACAAAGCACTTTGGTTCTGTCCAAATGCCTGAGTAAATGTCCAGCCGAACAAGGACCACACCCAGCAAAATAAGGCAGATAATTCCAGGCAAAAGATCTTAGGCGCAGATTTCGATTAATGTCTGTCTCAGCTGCAAGAGATCATACATAACCCCTTTGTTAAAGACACCGGATTTGAGCAGCTCAGCCTCCTGGTAGCTTACCAGGGTGAGATGACTATGAAACATACCCCCAGATGATGAGTCAACTGATGAGTTAGGTGACATATTTTGGAATTAAACATTCAAATCTTGGAGAATTTTTGTCAAAAGTGACTTTGGGTCTTTAACATAATTAATATTGAGGTCTTATTTCTCAGCAATAATTAAAAACCAGACAAAATGTTTCTTAAGGCTATTCCTAGATCACTGCGTGAAAACATCAGACAACATACTTATCTTCCTACTTGCTTCAGAAAAAAGATGTTAATTCTTCTCACCTAAAAGCCAAATCAGATCATTTAGGTATAAACACAGAAAGCAATCATACCGCTTGAAACTCATCTGTAACACAGTACCAAATTTCAGCCTACTCTATTTCTTACCATGATATTAAAAACCACATTTTAAAATATTAATTGTTAAAATTTGTCATTCAGCTTCACCCATCACAACTTACCATAAAACTTACAAATATAAGCATACTACAGAAAAGGCTTACAAATAATTCTTTTAAGCAATTCCACCTGACTTTAAAGCAAAAGCTGACAATCACACAAAAGCATTTGGCATTATCTTCACTGTACAAACTTCCACCTTGATGTAGACCTCAATGGCTCATTAGTCTTATGGACCTGTCAGTTTCTCAAAAATCAACTTCTTGATCTACTCTTCCTATTTTCTTCCATTACTGCCAATATCGGATATAACTAGGACTTTGATCACAATATCGACTGTACTGTTTTCTATCCTCATAGTTGAAAATTAACAATGATATACAATAAGCACGAACTGACATGGAAGACAAAAGAAATAAAAATACTGCATTAAAAAGCAAAGAATGGGAGACAAATCACAATATCAACTGTACTGTTTTCTATCCTCATAGTTGAAAATTAACAATGATATACAATAAGCATGAACTGACATGGAAGACAAAAGAAATAAAAATACTGCATTAAAAAGCAAAGAATGGGAGACAAGGGTTCTAGATAGGAAAAGAGAAATGAAAACATCCATGATACAATTCCATTTGTCCGTGCATGCATGACTCAAAAAATAACTTCCATACATTCCATACAAAAATAACTTTCTATACATTTCCATAAGTTGTACAGTATTTAAAATAGTTCAAAACATAAGTTAATTATCAACACTAGTGGTTCTCAATGGGAGTAATACCAATCTTGAGGGTTGTTTGGGAAATTCATGGCAGTATTTTTGTTTGTCACAATGCTTGTAGAGCATTATGGTCACTTAATGAGCAGGAACCAGAGACACCAGACATCCCATGTAGGACAGTTGCATACTGAAGAATTATTCCAAATCTAATGTGACTTTTAAATGTCCTACCAGATATTCCATGAAGGTGACAA